ATGGGGGAGTGTGGACGGGAAGAGGCGTGGTGGTGCGGGCGCATGTGGGCAGATGGCCGGATGACGAAGGCCGTGCGCCGTCTTGCCAGATGGTTGGAATTGGAGACTACCAGGCTGAAATTCAACATCGACAACAACACCACAACGCATCCAATTGCTCTGCACCACCAGGTTACCGACCTGTCAGTCTTCCCTGGTATCACATCCATCGTCTACTCGCGCAAACATGCAGCGCCCCAACTATACTAACCCGCCGCCGGCGCATTCACCACCGCGTACGTAGCCATACCGCGCCTCGGAATAGAACACCATGAGCTAACACGCTCCAGTACATCACCCAGTTCCCCAACACGTCTCCACGGTCCCTCAATTACGCTCACCACCTCCCCCACAACCCCCGTCGCAACCCCAAAGCGGATATGGCTACGGCCAGCAAGGCGGCGGCATGCCTCAGCAAGGCGGTGGCTACAACATGCACCCCTCCTTCGGTGGCTTCATAAACGACCCCACAGCGCAACTCGGTTTCCAAATGGGCAAGAGCGCCGTAGACGCGGGTCAGCAATACGTAGAACAAAACGTATGTCCTTCATCTACACATACCCCCATTCGGCAACAACTAACACCCTCCCAGCTCGGACGCCTCGTCTCCGTATCCGCTCTAAAACACTACTTCAACGTCACAAACTCGTACGTCCTAACCAAGCTGCGAATCATCCTCATCCCATGGTGGCACCGCCCCTGGTCCCGCCAACACCGCCACACACCCGACCCAACCATTCCCTCCTCCGCGCTACTATACCAACCCCCGCGCGAAGACGTGAACAGCCCCGACATGTACATCCCCACCATGGCGCTGGTAACGTACATCCTGCTCTCCACGCTGCTGGCCGGTCTACGCGGCGCCTTCCACCCCGAACTCCTAGGCTACACAGCGACGGTCGCGATATCCGTCACCCTCCTCGAAATCCTCATCATCCGCACTGGAACCTTCCTGCTCGCTATTTCCTCATCCTCGCAACTCCTCGACCTAGTCGCGTACAGCGGGTACAAGTTCGTCCACGTGATTGTCTCGCTCCTCCTCTCACACCTGGCTACGTGGATTGGCTTCGGCAGCGCGTGGGTTAGCTGGGTGATTTTCCTCTATTGTTTCGGCGCGAATGCGTTTTTCTTGTTGAGGAGTCTGCGCTATGTGCTGCTGCCTGATCAGAGTGGGCAGGGCAATATTGGCGGCAATGTCGCTCCGGGTTATGGTGGGAAGAGCCAGAAGAATCGGAGGACGCAGTTTTTGTTCGTGTATAGTTATGTGGTGCAGTTTGGGTTTATGGTTTGGTTGAGTAAGGTCTGAGGGGGTGGGTGTACGTACATGGATGGATTTTTTTTTTCGTGGGGGAGGGGAAAGACTGCGTATGGTCTGTCAGGTAGACCTGTGTGCGAATCAGGGTGCTGAGGAACCTGGATGGTGGGTTCAATATTGTCGATTAAGTGCACACGAGGATAAGGCGTGAGAGTATCGCCTGTGTACCTACCAGCGTCCAGCATTCGCGACATTTGCTCTCAGAAAACAAGATGATAACGTAGAAGAGCAAACAAGACCGCCTTAGATATAACCGCCTTTTTTGAAAAAATCAAGAAGCATATTCTATAAAGCTTTTATTCCTCTCATGGTATCGTTCCCGTAGTACATCATTCATCGGAAAGAAAGAAAGAAAGATTACCCCCTAACCCTATACTTTTTTCGCCGTAAAAATCCTTCTCTCACACTCATCCCACAACAGGCACAACCCTCCCCCCACCACCCCCCATCTCCACCTCCCACCCCACCCCTCCAAACTGCTCCACCCTCTCCCTCGCCCTCGGCGCCCCAATTAACACCACCCCCTCCGGCACCCTCACCTCGCCCACGCCAAAACACCCAAACGTAACCACTTTCCTCAACTCCGGACACGAGACAAACACACCGGCGACAACTTCCTCATCCACGACAGGACAGAAGCTGAGGTTGATTTCCCGGAGATGCGGATACCGTGTTTTCGCATTGAAGATGTGGATAAAAGTTTCGTGGGAGATGTGCCGGCAAGATGAGATATCCAGATATTCGATTTTGGAACCAGAGTGCGATATTAGTGCTTTGAACCCAGCGTCTGCGAGACCGATGGGGTCGTCGAGGGGACCGTCGGGGTTGGTGTTGTCGAGATCCCGGGTAGAATTCAAATCTACGTATCTCAACGGCGGGTTCGCCCAGTCCGTGAATAACGCCACATAACCCGCATCGCTGCACTCGCTGTTTTCTGTAAAGCGGAATTTACGTAGCTTGTTGCATGTGCTGTGGATAGCGGATAGGACGTCATCGGTAGCCTCGGAGGTGGCGTCGAGGAAGTGCTCGAGACAGAGGGTTTGCAGGTTATGCCCCACAGACGTGATGAGGTGGATCAATTTCGTATGCGTAATCGGGTCGTAGAAGCGAAGAGTGAGGTGTTGCAAATGTTCCAACCTCGCGATCGCATCAATACTGTCAGCACCGATTTTCTTACAACGCTCAATTTTCAGGCGTTCAAGGTTCGGACAGAACGTTGTGAGGGCTTCTACGGCTTCGTCGTCAAAGGCCGCGTCGAGCCATTCTACTTTCAAAGTTTTCAAATCGGATCCCCGCGCGATGAAGAGTTCGGCCCATTTGTCGTTTGTGACGAGGTTAGCGCCAAGGAGTTGGATGTGCTGGAGGGCTTTTGCTTGCGAGTTCATGTAGTCGATGTTGCTGTCTTTGAACTGGCAACAGTTGCGGAGGGAGAGACTCTTGACGTATGGACAAACGGCGAAGATCTGGTCGTAATCTTCGGTTTCGAGGTAGGCGGCTTCGTGGATGGCGACGCGTTCCATGTCGGGTTGGAGGAAGAGCTTCATGGTTGTAGAGTTCATGTGGCGTTTCTTGGAGAATATCTCGCTGATGCGGTTCATGATTGCTTCTGGCATCTCGCCGAGTTCGTCAATGTCTTCAGAATGTTGGGCTAGCTTCTCGATGCAGAGCTGTTGCAGAGACTTGGGTCCGCATACAGTCATGCCGTCGAGACGGTTGCTCTCAATCTTTCTGCGTCCCTTGCGTACCACTGGCTTACTCGCCTTCTTCTCTGCTTTTGCGTCCTTGGCCATCTCCTTGCCACACGGGGTACAGAGCAGACCTCCATCTGGACCAGCCTTGCTGTATGGAGTAACTGTGAAACGTTTGTTACAGATTTCGCAGTTCTCCAGTTGACCGGGCAGAGGCTTGGCCTTTTTGTACATGTCCATGACACCCTCAAAGTCAGAGTCGTCATCTGAGTCCTTCTTTTTCTTCTTTGGCACCTTCTTCGCAGCCTTGCCCTTCTTGATCTTTGCTATAGCATCTTCCTGGTTACGCTTGCGCTTGCGAACCCGCTCGGCGGCCATGGCGGACGACTCTGCCTGCAAGTCTTCTTCCTCTTCCTCATCTCCACCAGCATTTGACGGTCCTTCGCCATTGTCTTCCGACTGTGCAGCTTGCTCGGCTTCCCTGAGTCGGTTCGCGTAGGAATCGCGAATTTCCTGCGCGGAAATGTTATTTGCCTATCATTGATGTTAGTACGTGGTTTGACACGCGGCGATTCTCTTTCATGAAGCCGCCTCTTGATCTTTCACTTTGAAAGAATGCAGGCATCTGTTCCCGAGAGTTCATATCATGGTAAAATCGTATCTTTGACTTACCGCCAGAAAGTCCGTCAGTGCGGAGTGTGGACCACGAATGCCAGCACCTCTGCCAGCGCCTCTAGCTCGTCGCCCGCTCCTGTCGCCACTCGTCAGTATCGCGCATTCAAAGTAAGGTTTGTGACCTACATGATGTCGAATAGTCTAATTCGTGTTCAAATTGCAGAATGCTTTATACGTGATTGACACAAACGATAGAAGTTGTGTTGGTAACGTGTGTTGGGGTTGGTGAGCGGGGTGCGACATGCGAGCGAGGGAGGCGCGTCTCCGGGTCACGTGATGAGCGCGCAATCACGTGGTGGCAATTTGTCCCTTGATCAGGTTTAGTCTACCCCTGACAGTTGCTTTTCACGTCTCTTCATACTATACCTTGACCATAGTCAGATCAATATTTCGCTAGTACAGCTGCATACCTGGCTCACTGATGTCTTGAAACAATCTTTCCCGTCACTATATGGATTGGAAAGGCTCATGTATATCACCTCGATTGATTTGCTACCAATAACTCCTAAAATGATAAATCACTTTTGAGGCTGCACGTCCCTAATGAGCATACCAACTCCAAAGCACGAAAGAAACCCTATAGGTCTGCCAAAGATGAACCATCATCAGATTGAGCCACAGCCACGATCCTGACCTTACCCAGAATCACACAGTTCCGTTGAGAGGTTGAGAGTGTCCGCATTTACTCCAGAGCCAAAAACCACTTCTAGATTACCGTATCGTCATCATCATCGCTGCTCTCATCGCTATCATCTTCTCTGTCCTCATCCTCATCATCATCATCATCATCATCATCATCATCATCATCATCATCATCATCATCCCACGCATCAACGATAGAAGCGCGAGGAGCAGCCCTAATCTTGGCCCAGCCGTTGGGACGAATCTCCGTGGTATCGGATCGCTCAGCCACGCTGGAGGCGAATGATCGGGAAGAGCCAGAAACGGAAGGCGTGGTCCGACGGCCGTATGCGTTCGGATCAAAGCCAGAGCTTGCACTCAAGACTTCAATGGACTTTGTGTGCCATGATTTGGTGCGTGGTTCGCTAGAGTCACCATCGCCGTTGCGGCCGGCAGGGAAGGCGTACTCGGTATCGATCAAGCTGTCACTTGCGGAGCCCGACATGGACAATGCCCTCTGGAAGTCGGTCGACAAGGCGATGCCTCCATCTACAAGTCCTTTGCGACGGGCGCCATTGGCTTCTAGTTCTTGGCGACGACGGCTGCCATCGTTGACAGATTTCCATCCATCGTCAACCTATCGGTGTCAGCAAACGTATCCAGTAAATGTTCGTGTTTAGTGACAATGCGACACTTACGTTGGAAGCAGTACTGCTCAGAGCCGAGGAAAAGTACTCGGGAGCATGGCCATTGGAGTGATCCGGAGTGAAAGCGTTGCTAAGATCTTCGTACTTGCCCTCTTCATATGCGTTGTCGGCAAGCTGCCTCTCGATGCACACAAAGCATTTGGCAGTATCAGTCTTTCGGCGTTGCGTCCTAGCAAAGGAGTCGATACCCTTTGTCTTTCCGCACATGCTGCATTCGAGCTCGACTGTCTGCCTCCCCACGCAGTCCTGGCAGTTGATGTGCTTCAGTATCTTACCAAAACTCCGAATTTGCGAGCGGGCATCGGTTTGTTGTTTGGTGGAGAACCTGATTAGGGGCACATTCTTGTGGCAGAGACCGCATTTGAGCCTTGGTGGAAGTGCGATGCCCTTGAGTCTGATCATGTTAGCTGTGCTCTTGTCATAGAAAGAGCGCTTGTCAGTTGAGTGTACATACCTATCAATGTCGTCCTGGTTATAGACGTGAGCTTGTTTGCGACTGGGCATGGTGATGGATGGTGGAGGCTGAGTCAAGAGTGGCTGTTGATATTTGATTTGAAAGAGTGTTGTGGAGAAGGGAAGAAATGGATGTTGCGCGCTTTATATCAATGTTGCGAACTGGCAGTGGAGAGGTTTATGTAGGTGAAGGCTGCAAGGTACTGGCTGAGGAGGACGTTTGCTTGGGCGAAGTCAGGGTAAAGGCAGGCGCGACCGCACACCGATGCAGCTGCTTCAAACAACACAAGAAGGTAATAGACAGAGACGAGCTGCGATTTCGGAGGAGATAACAGCATCAGCACCCAAGGGAAAGGCAATTGATTGGTTCAGGGTACTATCGTCATTGGAAGGTAAGATGTTGAAGCAGACGACTATGATAGATGCGCGGGATGCTACGAAGCAAACGGCACGATATTAGAATGCACCATTCGGAGGTGAGAGAAGGCCCACTGGCTGTTTTTGACGTGATTCTTGGATGCGATCTAGATGCAACCGGTGAGGCATGGCAATCTGACATTGTCTTCCTTGTTTGCATGTCGCCGCGCAGAACAGTCAACATGATGAGCGTATCTGCTAGAAGATGAATGGGTGGCATGCATGAATTGCAAAAAGAAGAGATGGACATGGACATTCGCGGTTCAAATGCGAGAAAGGAGCCAAGAAGCCGAGGTGATGGCATAGACGACATGAATGAAAATGAATTACTGTCGGTACTTTCTTGGTGTTGCATGTCCATCCGGTGGCGGTGCAAGGGTGCCAATATGCTGCATGACGCCACAGCCGAGGAGCCAAAATTGCTATCGCTAATCGATTGCGATAACAAAATTGTTGCGTCCCGCACTCGACTCCACCAAATTCCGCCCAACGTCTCTGGCACTCGACCGGCACAGTGGCGTCTATTCCCTTTCGATTCAAAACAGGCGGAAGCGCCAGTATGGCTCCCATGGCTGCACCGTCGCATCACCATCGCAGTACGACCAAAAAAGACAAGAAAGGCTTCAAGTCTCGCCATGCCACCAAGGGTGCGCTCAAGGAGCAGAGCAAGGGTCAGTTGTGCGCCGTCGCATGAGATGTTTGTTCTGACTGTATCGCATAGGCAAGGTGAATTCTCTCTCGTTCGAGTTTGGCAGTCGCAAGACGCCTCACCAGCAAGTCATGTCTAAATTCGACCGCCGCAACCGCGCGAAGCAAATGCGCCTCAACAAGGACCACGAACACGCAAAGTCGACCAACGTTTTCGCCGGCAAGGATGGAGCCCCAAGAATCGCTGCTATTATTCCACTATGTGCCGATGTTTCCACAGCAGATGCTGCACGCGCTTTGAATGCGAGTGTCGACGTTGAGGACGAGGTTCCCGAGGCGGGCTGGACACGCACAACCGTCGACCGCTTCAAGCAAAAGGTGCAATACCTGACAGTCAAGAGAGACTTGCTAGCCGCTCTGGATGCTTGCCGTGTCGCCGATTTTGTAGTCTTTGTACTATCCGCAAATGAAGAGGTGGATGCTGAGGGCGAGTTGATACTCAAATCAGTGGAGAGCCAGGGCATCTCCAACACCTTTACAGTTTGCCAGGGACTAGACAAGGTCGAACCCGCCAAGCAAAGGCCTTCGGTCGTTTCATCTCTCAAATCCTACATCACCCACTGGTTGCCATCCACTGAGCGCGTCTACTCGCTCGACAACCGCCAAGAAGCCGCAAATCTCGTTCGATCGCTATGCACAACCACCACCAAGGGCGTTCGATGGAGAGACCAGAGGAGTTACATGTTTATTGAAGATATTGCGTGGCCTGGTGGAAAGTCCGCCGTCAATGAGGACGGCACTGGTGAAGTCGTCATCACTGGAGTTGTTCGAGGCCTGGGACTCAAGGCCGACAGGCTGGTGCAGGTTGGAGATTGGGGTGACTTCCAAGTCGACAAGATTGTAGCTGCCCCTCTTGAGACGAGGAAGAAGAGGGAAGATGAGATGGCCGTTGACTCGGAAGTTGACGACACTCTGGAACGCCCCACCGAGGACCAAGATGATCTCGCTGAGCTGGCGCCAGAGGAGACGCTCATGGACGACGTGACCAACTATGCCACATCTGTTGCACCATCTGAACGCAAGGGTGTCTTAATTGATGACCACCACTACTTCTCAGACGAGGAAGAAGAAGTTGCTCCTACGAAGCGGAGACGATTGCCCAAGGGTACTAGTGACTACCAAGCTGCATGGTACCTAGACGGCATGTCAGATTCTGGATCAGACTTTGAAGACTTTGACGACATGGAGGACCAAGAAGATGGCCAGAGCCAACCTGCGCATCCTGCCGATGGTGAGGAGGGCATGGACGTTGATGGCAGGGCGATAACAGAGGGTGCACCTTCAGAATACCCACAATCAGAAATGTTCCTTGATCCTTCCCCAGAAAGATGAGGCCGAACAGATTGAGGCATACCGAAAGTCGAGGAAAACAGAAGAGGCTGATGATCTGGAGTTCCCCGATGAGATCGAACTGCCCCCAAATGTCAATGCGCGAGAGCGTCTCCTTCGTTACCGAGGGCTGAAGAGTCTGAAGATGAGCAAATGGGAGACGGAGGAGGATCGACCATATGAGCCAGAAGAGTGGCAACGGTTACTTGAGATTGCCGACTACAAACGTACAGCTACAAAGTTCATGCGCGAAGCATGGGCTGGTGGTGTCAAGCCAGGAACCCGGGTCAGCGTACACATTCGCGGTGTCCCACTACAATTCCAAGAGAGCCAGTCGCGACCAATTGCCATGTTCTCGCTCCTCCGCCACGAGCACAAACGCGCAGCCTGCAACTACAGCATCCTGCTAAGCTCCGAGCACGAATCACCAATCAAGTCAAAGACGGAGCTGATCGTGCAATGTGGCCCAAGGCGAATGGTCATCAACCCTGTAAGTCATAACATCTCTCCTCCACCTATGTATCAAAACTAACGAACCCATCACAAGCTCTTCTCAAACGCCGGAAACACTCCAAACAACGTCCACAAATTCGCCCGCTTCCTCCACCCAGGCCAGTCTGCAATCGCCTCCTTCATCGGCCCCCTAACATGGGGCAACGTGCCCCTCCTCTACTTCACCCGCACCCCATCTTCCCCGTCTTCCCTCCGCCTAGTCGCAACAGGAACTTCCCTGCCCCCCTCCCGCAACCGCATCATAGCCAAGCGCATCATCCTCACCGGCCACCCCTTCAAAATCAACAAACGCGTCGTCACCGTCCGCTACATGTTCTTCAACGACGCCGACGTCAAGTGGTTCAAGGGTCTG